CAGGGAGCCCGATGCGGGACTCGATCCCGGGACTCCAGGATCATGACCTGAGCCGAAGGCAGTCGCTTAACCGACTGAGCCACCCAGGCGCCCCTGAAGTTTCGTAGTTCTTCTTTACAGAGATGCTCAGTACTATTGGTTAAAGTTATTCCTTATATTTATGTATTGGCCACCATGAATGGGGTCTTTTTCTGATATCTCCCAACTCAAAATTTCCCCACCATTTTAGTATCATAGAACTCTTTGAGAATGTGGTGAAATATTCTGGCCCTAAAGAAAAATTCCCATAAATAAAAGCTGAATATTTCTGAAATTTGAAAAAGCTATTGAATTTCTGTTTGTCTATACAGTAATCTAGTCACTTTACTGAATGTTGAATAATTTCCAGATTGCCAATGATAATGTTCGGAAAAAATAATCTGAATTATTTTAAATTGCTGTTTAAACTCATTTGGCACCATTATCAATTCCCTTTGTCCTGTACTGGGGGAAATGTCACCACGTTCGGTCTCCCACACACTTGCTGACATTCTCCCTGGAGGTTGTGTCTCTCGTTTTCCCCAGTTACTCCCCTCTGGTTTCTGCCTCTCTCTGTGTCCCTTAGAAGAAAAGCTTTTGGTTGGTCTGTCTGCATGTTTACTTATGTTATATTATGGAAAGTTATGTCACCTTTAAATGACTCAATGTTTTAAAACAACAAACTTAGGAACCTTCAAGCTACAAAATAGCTGTATGTTTACAGTATGTTCAAATATATTTAATTTGTGAGAATTGGACCTATAGAGTCTTCAATAATATTTTCCTCCAATAAAACGAGGTTCAATTGTAAAATGCAAAACAAGATGTTAAAACTTGACACGGTTGATGGTCAACATATAAAGAAAGATTCTGTCTTTATGTTAAAGTGCAAATCCTGAGATTATAAAATGGAATACTCTAAAAGTGATATCCTTGAATAAACTTTAATGACATATAAAATATAAAGTATAAATGTAGAATTTCAAAATGCTACATAATTGTAAAATAACTAAATACACTGATTGCCTGGTATAAGTATTAGTATTAAACATGAGTCATTTTCCCAAACTCCTTACCTGTCATGGTTTTTATTTATTACGTGTATTCTTCATCCATGAAAATAAAGACAGGGATGGGCCAGTAAAAAATTTTAGAAAAACCTGAGCCCCACAGATACTTTGTCTAGGGTTAGCTCTGCTATATGAAAACTTTTAATAAAATCCATCTTGCTGTTAAATCTAACCAATGAACATATTTATATGTTAATATATAAATGTGTGTTTATACTCTCTCCACATAAAAATAATTTTATTTTATACAAA